AGTAAAAAGAAAATTTATCCTCCAAATAAAAACGAAAAGCTTTCTATTTCTTTCGTAAAAAGCAAATAGTAATCAATGATGCATCATCACTTAGAAGGGAGAAGGAAAACTGTCCACTTGAAGAAAATCCAAACCACTACATACTAGGGCACTATAAAAAATCATCGTATTTCTTGATCAATGATTTGCAAATCATCTGATTGGTATGTTACATCTCTTGGACGAAAAGTTTTAAGCAATTTTATAACTCTGTCAAAAGTATTACTGTCATTTTTTGCAAGAGAGAACATTGATATTTCCAGAGGTTCTTCATCTACATGAAGCTTTCTTTTCTTATTAAAATAGATGAAATGAGGTATACTGATCCAGTTCACTTTTTATATTTTGCACCAAGACAGTCTGATCAATGACTTTGAGAACGTGTTAGAAGCAGAAGGAAGGAGAAATTCTACCTGAAGTCATAACACATTAAATATGCAGGAACCAGTCAAATAGAGACTATGTTGGGAGAGATGTTCAGGCAATGTATTTGAATTATTCTAAACAAGATGTGATTTGTGTGTTCACTATATCAGTAATGATAATACATTTTGCTAGCATTCCTCGGCTAAGGAGCTGAATTTACCAGAAGAAGCCAGGACTTGAGCAAGCAATCATCATCTTCAGGAGAGGAGAGGTAATTTCAATGAAGATAATTTGGTGGCAGAGAAGAAAAACTAAGGTATTGGTTATAGTTGATGATTTTGTGTTAAAAATCTGCTTTGCTCAGATGTATGTTATGCAACAATTCACAGGGAATAAAATGCAACTTCTGATATAAAGGTGAACACCAGATGCAAAGCAAAGGATGGAATATCATACACACGCATAGTACACCAATTTTATGCAAGGATAATTATCCACCACAAATTTCAAATGTCAGGTGTATACAATCAGAATCTAACTGAGAATCTAAATTAGCTGATGACATAAAGATACGTAGGAAAGGGAGTTGTGAAAAGGGCTTATAGAGCCTACGAAGAGATAGATTTGTTAGGCAAATGGGCAATGATCTAAAAAAATGGAGTACAAAGTGGGAAAATGAAATTGTCCATATTGGCAGAAAGAATAAAAATGAAACATATCATCCAAATGGTGAGAGACTGTACAGCTTTGAGATGCAGAGAGATCTGAGTGTCCTAGAAGTTATTATGCAGGTCCAGCTGGTAATCAGGAATGCTAACAGAATGTTATAGTCTGTTGCGAGGAAAACTGAATGTAAGAGTAGAGAGGTTATGCCTCAGTTACACATGACATTGGTGAGACTGCATCTGGAGTACTCTGTACAATACTAGTCACTATTTGTAGGGAAGGATGTTAATACATTGGAAGCAGTTTAGAGTAAGTTTACTTGAATGATACCTGGAATGAGTGGATTGTCCTCTGAAGAAAGTCTAGCCCTGCTAGGCCTGTATCCTCTGGAGTTTAAAAGAGACAGAGGTGACTTAATTGAAACATATGAGAGCCTAAAGGGATTTGACAGGATGGATGTCGAAAGGATATTTCCTCTTGTGGGAGAATCTAAAACTAAGAGTCATAAATTAAAACTAAGACCTGGCCCATTTAAGACTGAGGTGAGGAAAATGTTTTTCTCTCAGAAGGTTAAAAGCATTTGGAATTCCCTTCCACGAAAGGCAGTGATGATCGAAGTCTGAAATAAAAATAGTGTGTTGGAGAAACTTGGCAGATTTGGCAGCACTTGTGAAGAGATAAACAGAGTTAATGTTTCAAGTCTGATGTGATTCTTTTTCAAAACTGAAGGGACTGTAAGGAAATCCCACAGTGGAACAATCCTAATGTGGTATTTTGAGAGACACATCTTGGATTCAACACTCACAACATACGTTCCAACTTTTTCATGCCTGAAATTTTTGTTAGGCTTCTAAACATCTGTTTCTGCAGTTTAGCTAAAAGTAGAATGTTACAGAAGATTGAGAAACTTGTAAACATGGCTGGGCTGAAGAACTAGTTAGCCCAGCATGAGTTACTAATGATAAGTGTGGGAGCTGAAATTCCTGCTCGAGTGGAAGTATGCCTCTGCAATCAATGACTCACTAAAGAAATCACATTTTCAGAATTTAGTTCAAAGCTCTGTATTCTATTGACAATCATGGAAAACAACAATTATTTTTATAAATTATTTCACATATCTGAGCATTGCAAGCTAGGCCAGCATTTATTACCCATCCCTAATTGCCCTAAGAAAGTGGTGGTAAGTTGTCTTTTTCAAATGCTACAGTCCATGTGGTGTAGGGACATCCATTAAGCTGTTAAGGAAGGAGCTCCCTGATTTGGACTCAGCAATAGTGAAGGAACAGTGATACATTTCCAAGTCAGGTTGGTGATGGCTTAGAGGGGACCTTGTGGAGTTTCCATGCATCTGCTGCCCTTGTCTTTCTAAATGGTAGAGGTCATGGGTTTGGAAAGTATTGCCACAGGAGCCTTGGTAGGTTGCTGCAGTGCACCTTGTAGAAAATACATACTGTTGGCACTGTGCATGGTGATGAGTAAATGTTGAAGCAGCTCTGAAATAAATCCACAATGGGGGGGTTCTATATGTAAACAAAGCAAAGTGCAGTAAATTGAGTTTGAAGCAGATGGTCAGCCACGGTCATGCCTCAAATGTCAATTCGCGCATGGATTCAGTTTACATCTCTACTGACAACACTGACACTCAAAATACACAAAAATACAATCCTTGCTCTGAATTTTCCCAAAATGTAGCAAAGTGTCAATTTTGCAGAGTTTTAAACAGGCTTTCTTTCTGTTAACCCTGGCAACTTTTCTCACAACTTTACACTGCTCACCTCATTAAGTATGCAATATGCATTTAGCAGTAGTGAAATACTCATCAATGCTATGATCTCCTGGCATTTCCACCAAGGCTTATGGTCTACCTCTATTACTAATTTGTGCAGCATCTTTCCTCAATAGCTCTCAACATCATCTATCCCGCAAAATTATTAATCCATCCTGCCCACTGCATTTCCTAATTTGTCAGTTCCGACTCAGTATAAGCACTCTGACTGACCACAGTTTCCCATTACTGTTCACTGCTGCCAAAATATGACGAGTTACCTAGCTATCTGTCTGCACTAATAGGGAAGGCAGAGATTCTGTGAGAATCCAAGAAGATACAAAGTGAGCAGCACTAAGAAAGTAAACAAAGAGTCCTAAAATATATCTTGTTTCAATGTGTCAGACGGGTATCACCCCTAGGTGCAAAGTGTCCTGGCAACAGCATTGCAATGTAAGGCATCAGTGAGCTCCAAAGTGCAGTATCAAAATGCTGAAGTGTATTAAAAATAAGTCCCAAAAGGGCCAAGATGATGTGGGGAGGCTGGTGCTTTGCTGATGTCGACCTCTATGGATGGAGGTTGCAGTTGGTTGCTGCCTAGGTAATGTTTCCTGAGATGTTGGGGGCTGCTGGCCAAGAGGGAGGTCCTGAGAAGATGCTGATGACTGAAGCCTCCGGGTACCTGCTGAGATCCTCATGTCATGAATTGTCACTGTCTAGTTTTTCACCTCTGCAAATAGCAAACTGATAAGATTTAGTGATAATGGGATGTTAATGCAGGTACATAGCCCCTCGCCACACACTAGTGAGATTCTCATCTAGCTGTTAAAACCTCAGGTGGAATATTGGACTGCTTTTTCCTCGACGTTGAGAATCTCAGTTTTCAGATGTCACCATAATTTCCCAGCTGGCCCACCACTGCGCACATCATTCAGCGCCTGGGAAAATTCAGCCCACCGTATCGGTCATAATCATTTTTCAATGAACAGAAGTTAGGACTTTTGTAAAAGAAAATAGTTCAGAGTCTTTGTCCATGATTCTAGTTGAGCAGAAACTAATAAAACTCACCTAAAACATCCACCTAATGAGGTTACAATAGGATTGAAGTTAACAACAATCCTATTCTTATCATCATAAAAGGCAACAATTTATCCTGACAGACCCTGCACTGTGTCAGCAAAACTGTTCAAATTCTCATAGTCACGTTAACCACCAGTTTTCACTCAATCCCAACCCATAAACTGCATAAAAGCAAAGTACTGCAGATGCTGAAAATCTGAAATAAGCATAAGAAAACCCTGGAAACACTGAGCAGGTCTGGAAGCATCTGTGGGGAAAGAAACAATACACAGATGGTCAGTGCAACCCGCTTTAAACACTTCTAAACTCAGTGATCGTGGCTTTAACAGCTTATAACAAACATCCTGGGGGGACTTGTCATCCATCATCAAACCTGGTGAGATCACTCTGAAGCGCAAAGACGAAGCTCTAAAGTATATAATGTAGGATACAAGATTGACTAGATATTATGTTGTTTTTGCAAGAAATATCTTGCAGGGTGAAGGAAGGAAATCTTCAGGTGATTGATGGAGATGCAGCGGGGAGGTAGAGATAAACCAATCTCTTATGGACAATGACAACAAATCTGAAAAACACTCAGCAGGTTGATCAAGACTGAGGAATAAAGAACAGTAAGATTTCAAGTAGGACCTTTTCTCTGCAGGGTGCGAGATCATGAAATGTCTAAAGTTGAACTGTAACCTCGTCTATTCAGCCTGTTGGATCTCCAGTTTCCACAATGTTTCTTTCTTTGGCCACCCACTTTGGAGTTGCTGTCCACCATTTCCCTTGCTTCAAGTCTTCGCGCAGCTTTTAATTTCCATAAAGTGAATGATACTGTAAATGAGAGAGGATCCCGACATATTCTGGAAACCACGTCTCTACATAAAGTGAAACTGTTGATATTCTCTTGTGCCAGCTGAACCCTAGTAGCTGCTTACAATATTAATAGTGTCACATAGTTTCTGCAACAATTGTTAGGCATAAGAATTTCAGCAAAATTCTTGAACCAAGTTTTTAAAACTAGCACACAGAAGAAATTCTACCACTTCCCACTTAAATACATGAAACAACATAACATGCACAGTTCTACATCAGCACTTACACTTTCAGGATGGTGATGCACTTGGCAGTCAGCTGCTGCATCTTCACTGTCTGGTTTTACATTCTCTTTATTTTCTGTAGGAGAGGGGGAGTTATCAGCAACCACAAAGTTAGTCACCAAATCAGGTAAACTTGTGGAGGGGAACTTCTGGAAATGGATCTCAGATTCATCCTGTAAAACAGAGCAAAGGATAATTAAAATGGTTGGTTTTCATACTGATAATGTTTGCATACCTCCACGATCATGCAGCTTTGCATTATGAAATATTTCAAAAACATTTTCTTTAGTGTCCAGTTTATTTTACTTTCTTGAAATGCACAATAAATCCCCTGATCAGCACTTTCAGCATTGAGAGTAGGGATTCCAGCCACAGCTCCTTCATATATTACAACTAACTGTATTAAGTGAATATCCTCTGGACAAGGTTAATACTCAAGTTTTTTTTTAAACCAGTTCTACATCCTGCCCAGTAGTCTGGATGAGAAATGGCACTTCTTACTGCACCTATTAGTAAGCATTGAAGTGTCATGGACTGCAGGACACAGTGAGGTTACAATTTGAGTCTGCAGTACTGATGCTAACGATGGGCAGAATCTTAATACATTAAAATTATTTGCCGGTTGGGAGCAGTTCCTGGACTCACGTTTTTTCCTGTTACCTGCTGGAGAAATCATGCAAGAAGCTGGCTAATGGCTGCCTGGAAGATTGCAGTAGAGGATTAACTGAGGCTACAGGCCCAATCAGAGGCAGGATGGGGACCTCGCCAGGGCCTTCACCTTGAGGTACCCTTTGAAGATTTTTCAGATGTTAAAGAAACTGCAACCACAACTGTGCAGGTGAAATCCCTATACAGATTGGCCAGTGGCTGCAGCTGTAGCCCATAGAGCCCTGCAGCATAGGACAGCCTGTTTAAGATTAATCCAACCACCAACAAGCAACATACTGGCAGCTGCCAGGCATAGGCCACACAGGAAGGCTGTATGTTGCTGGGAGAAACCCGGCACATTCCAAATTTGCCCCTAAGTAGGTACTAACAAATTCAAATTGACAACCCAATGCTGCCAGCAGGTAACCACCCTGCTTCCAACTCCACTATGGTTAGATCAGCTGAACACTGGAACTCATTGGCCCATCGACCTAATAGTGTCCCATCCTACCTTCCTCCCAGTGCTGCCAAAGCTGCTTTGGTGGGACTGGTAAGATCCCATGCCAAGTGTAATTTTTTAATCAGATTAATAAATAGATTAAATTAATCTATCAAAGCAATGAAATCCAAGAAGGCAGCTATGAGGATTGCTTGCTGAAAAATACACAAGGACAAATTAGCCACAAGGACAGCCGGAATCATAAGTGACTATTTGGATGCATATTGCTCCTCCTGGCCCCACAATATTGAATTTAAACTTACCTTTACAGGATGTCTTTGTCTGGTTTACCAGTAAAATTCATCACCCAATGCACAGTGCAGGCTCCAACTGTTTCTGTGTTGGAATGACAATCAAGGTGCTACATAAATAAAGTACTTGCATTCTAAAAAGTGCTGACCATGTGAAACAGGAATGTCATTCATTTGTATACCTCATAAGCATGACAGCAGGCTGAACATTAATGTTAATGATGCATTAAGACGTCCAACATCATTTAGTGGACCTTATGACATCATTTGTACTGATTTTGGCAAGTTAAATTTTCCTTCTATTTCACTGTTGCAGTTTTGATTAAAAAATTGTTACTGACCATTGTTGTTCTCAAAATTTTTCACCTAGTCCTCCTAAATTTCAATTTATTTCTCCTTTTTACCTTAAAAACAAGTTTACTGCACAATGAGTGATCCCATTCTAGCAACAGAAATTTAGGGCTCAACTCCCTCACTGTCTTTTTCATCCACAATCTACGCATTTCAAAATCAAAAAAATCACAACCCATACCCACTCTTTCTTAATTTACTTTGTACCCAGAACCAAAGGAACAGAACTAAGCTCCATAATCTTGCCACTAATGAGAGGAGAAGGTTCCACAGCTTCAGACGTAATTGTCTAATGAATGAGCATCACAAATACCAATCTTCAACTAATCTGATTCATTCTAAGTGAGATCAAGAAATGGTTGAAAACATTGAATATAGCAAAGGTTATCGCAAATGACCCTGATGAGACTTGCACTCCAGGTCTTAGCCAAGATGCTCCAGTGAGGCTACTACACTAACAATGTGGAAAATTGCCCAAGCATGTCCTGTCCACAAACTGCATGGCCAGTCACAATCAGGTAATTACCACCTCGTTAGTCTACTCTTGATCATTAGCAAAGCAATGGAAGATGTGGTTGACAACTGCACCAATAGGCAACTTGTTAACAATAACCTGCTCATAGATGATCAGTTTTATTTCCGGTAGGTCCAGAACTCATTACAGCCTTGATCCAAATGTGGACAAAAGAGCTGAATTCAAGAGCTGAGAGTAACTACCCTTGACATCAACCATTTGACTTGGTGGACATCAAGGACTGAAGTAATTGGGAACCTATGTTAAACTATTTCCCGGTTGGAGACATACCTATTACACGCCGGTTGTGGAAGTTGATCATCTCGGCCTCAGGACATCACTACAGGAGTCCCTCAAGGTAGTGTCTTGGTGAACCATTTTCACTTGCTTTACTAATTATCCTACCCTCATTGTAAAATTGCAAGTAAGGATCTTTGCTGATGATTGCAGTGTTCAGTACCATTCATAGGGATGAACTTGGTGAAGACAAAAGGTCTGAAAATCTTGTGTGATAAGGAATTATAACACAAAACAGCTAAGTCACTGACGTATAAAAAGCCAGGATTGATAGTACTTTTTACAATGTGTAATGAAATACAAATGTTTCCGTGTCACTTCAAATGGGTGGAATTATTAGACTTCAAGTGGATAGAAACATTACTTTTCTGTTTATTTACTGTCTATTAGCTTCAAAACTGTGCATCAATGCATTTATACAATATCACAAAAGTGAGCACAGCATTTTAACATTTCTGCATGTAATACAGACAGTGCACATAATACACATGAAGTCCAAACTAACAACAGAGCATGACATTGTTGGATCATGTATGCGCAAGTCAAAACAAAGGGCTACAGACGGAGACAGAGGTCGAAAAAACATTTCAAAAGGTGGAATTCCACAGTTGAAAAGTCAGAATTCTATCAAAAGGCAAAGATTTTTCATCCCTGCATTCGCAGCTATTCAGATACCAAAGCTGTCCTTGCCCAAATACATCAAGGTCTGAACAACAGTCAGGCCTATTTGCAACACATATGCCAGGAAATATCCAGCTCTAACAAGACAGAATCTAACTATTGCCCTTTAATTCACTGGCATTACAATCAGTGAATCCCCCAGTATCAATGTCCAAGGCTAGGTGGGGCAGGTGATTTATCAATGACCAGAAACTGGCTGGACCAGACATCTAAGTACTATGGCACAAGAGTAGGTCAGAGTCTGGGAATCCTGCAGCATGTGCTTCATTTCCGGACTCCCCAGAGCCTGTCCATAAGGCACAAGTCAGGACTGTGATGAAATTTTCTCCACTTGCCTGGATGAATGCAGCTCCAACAACACTCAAGAAACATGACACCATTCAGGACAAAGCAGCCTGCTTCATTCACACCTCATTCACCACCTTCAACATTCACTCCCTCCACTGCCATTGAACAGTGGCAGCAGATGAGATTCAAAAGTCACCAAGGTTCCACAGATAGCACATTACCAATCCATGCCTCTATGACACAGAAAAACTGCAGCAGGAGACATGTCTCCAAGATGACAACTGAATAGGATTCCTGAGTCGGAGCTTGTCCGCTCTGTCTGTTTCTTTTCATTTTTTCTCTCCCTTTTTGCGCTTTTTTTTTCTTTGTACCTCCCATCCTTGTGGCATTGGCGATGTCCGGGGTGAAAGCTAGCGCGGACTCCCAGTCTCAGCGTGGACTCGACTCCCGGTCATCGGGTGGATTCGATTCCTGGCCCCAGCGTAGGCTTGGAATCCCAGCCCGAGTGTGGACTCGAATCCCTGGCTCAGCGTGGGCTCGGAATTCCAGCACATCTGGCCTCGAGGTGAAGCCCGGCGCTGTCTGGGTTGGAAGGACTGCTATTCTGAACTCTTATTTCTCCATTTTTCTAATTTATTGCTGGGCTTTTTGTCTTTATTTTTCTAATTATCTTTGCTAAGAATTTGTATTTAAGAATCTGTACCTAGGTACTTTGGTACCTAAGATGGCACTGTAGGTGGTAACTTGTAAACTTATCACTGTACCCGTGAGTACTTGTGACAATAAAGCTAATTCTTCTTCTCTTCGGCATGTGAACAACACCTACAAGTTTCCCTCGAAGATGTACACCACACTGAGTTGGAACTCTATTGCCATTCCTTTGTTGTCGCTGGATCAAAATCCTGGAACTCCCTTCCTAGCAGCTCTGTGGGTGTAACTGCACCATATGGACTGCAGAGATTTAAGGAGTTGGCTCACCACCACTTCCGCAAGGGAATTAAGGGTGGGCCACATACCACATGAACAAAAAACAACAACCTTGGTGGTGCTTTGCAGTACCATAAACCTTCATTTAAGCTTACAAATGAAAAATAGACTTTAAAAACTATGCTCTAATATTTACCTTGCTTTCTCAAGATTTTCAGTTGGATATGGCTGTTTGAGCTGCTCCTTTAATCTTTGAAAGAAACATCTTTCCGTTTAATAAATAGGAGGAATTCACAGATACCATCTCTTGAGGAATTGCAATCTCCAGTGGGTAATTTATTATAAAAGCCAGATCATGTGTAGAATTAAATTTAATATTCAAGCTATGAATTAAACATTATTAAACATAAAACCATCATTAATCAGCGCAGCTTCAGTTTTAAAGATGTTTTAATCATAGTACATTCGGATTAAGATTAACTCATCATGAATGTAAGGGCACTGATACAAAATGATAGCTACATGCAACGTAATCTCCATCGATTAAAGCAATTGCTAAGGCAATGAACTATCATATGAAAGTTGCACACGAACACTGAGGGCTGGCAGATGACGTTTAATTTGGATAAATGTGAGATTTCGTATTTTGGTAATACAAACAAGGATAGGACTTATACAATTAATAGTAGGGCCCTGGGTATTGTTGTAGAACAGAAA